CGGTCTGATTATACATGGATGATATAATCATTGCTAAAGATAATGAGGCTGAAATTTCTTGTCTGGAAAATGATTTGTTAGTTTGATTTGAGATGAAAACTTTGAGGGAAAATGGATGTTTTCTTAGTCTGGAAGTGGAAAAATCATATCAAGGATATTTTATACCTAAAAGAGGACATGTAAAGGGTCTCTTAAGAGGGTTTTGGCATGGGGGAGTCAAAAGAAATGGCTATTCCATGGAGCCATATTTTAAATTAAAGAAAGATGGAGAGAATTAACTGAAGGATGCCAGAAAGTTTCGACAACTTGTATTTAGTTCAATTTAGTTAATTATCACAAGACTAGATGTTGCATTTTTTGCTGGTGTTCTTTCCCATTCGTGCAAAGTCCAAGAATTCTTCATTTAGATGCAGCAAAATGAATTTTGCATTATATAAAGGGATCTCCTAATCATGGTCTTGTGTCAAAGAGATGTGATGAATTTCTGTTGACTGCATTTACTGATGTAGATTGGGTAGGCGATGCAAATGATCGACGATCAACCTGAGGTTACTGTTTTAGCACTGGTCCAGTTGTGATTTCTGTAGCAAAAAGCAATCTATCGTGCCTTATCCAACATTGAAGCTGAATACGTGGCAGCAACAACAGCTGCCCAAGAATGCAAATGGTAGAAAAGTTTAATAGAAGATATATAATGCGAAGTCAAGTATGCTGTCCAAATCAAATGTGACAATGAAAGTGTTATTAGACTTGGATCAAATCCAATTTTTCAAGAACGGACAAAACATATCCAAGTAATTCGTGACCATTATATTCGAGAGAATGGTGCTGAATCAAGAAATTGAGCTCAAAGGGAGTTCACAAAAATGATCAAGTTGGAGGCATATTTATGAAGGCTCTTTCCAAGTCAAAGTTTGAGTGTTTTAGGGTTTCTCTTGGAGTCATTAATCGTGAGCATGCACTTAAGAGGGAGTACTACAAAGTACTACATCTTACAATGCATATTTATTGTTAGTTTATTTATTAATTACTGAGTCAATATTTAGTTTCTTCTTGATTTGGTTAGATTAAGTCAAAGATGAGGTGTCAATAAAATAATGTTTTACTTGATTATTGATAGGATTTTATGGAAGTAGGTTGATCTATTTTAAGATAGTGACGTTATCCTACTGCTTTCAATACAAAGCATCTAATGTAATTTTGTCAAGCATCTATTGTTCAATAACAAAGAGTTTCCAATAAAACGACTTTTCCTTAATATCAATGAATAGATATTTCATTTTGTATTTAATTTGAACTAACAATAGTAATATTCGAGACCAATAGATTTCTTTGGATTTTATTTAAGTTTCTTATCTTTGAATTCTTAATTATTACCAAAACTAGCATTCATGATGTGTTAATTGCAAAAATCTCCATATTAGCAACATATTATTACCACATCAACATCACGTCATCACTTAAAAAATTTTTTATGATTGATTAATATCTAATTATAATTATTTTTAAATATCACATCAATAAAAATATATCACATCAGTACCTTATTGATATAAACAACAACAAAAAAAATTTAACATATTAATGATTAGATTGGTATTATTAATTTTAAAAAGTATAAAAATTCTATTTTTATAAATTATTATATAAAAATTAATTAGATTCATTACTGGGATGAATTATAGAGATTAATTATATAATTTGACCAAAATTACAAGACCATAATTAAAAGATATTGTGATCAAAGACTCCAAAGTTCTATATTTAGTTGGACGAGGAACATTAATTGATAGTTTATATTTTAAAATTCTACTATGGCTCATGTCCATGTTCTATATATTCCCACTAAAATTTAGAAATTAAACAACTGCAAACAAAAAGTAATTATTTTAAAATTTAGTCAAACTTCTGCTCTTGCTGGACAGAAATTGAAAAGGTCTCGGCTTTCATTACCCTTTTACTTGTACAATCTCGTTTTTGATTGTGCAGAGCCAAAGCATCATGGAATCATTACCAGAAAAGGGAAAGCTCTGATGGGGAATCGATGCTATTCCCTCCATTATCAGTTTACGTTTTTTTTTTATTTGGAATTTGTGCCCGTCATATCGTGTTTATATTTGGAAGAAAATCAGAAGATTCACACTCAAACTATTAAATAAAAACCAAAAAAAATAAAGTTTATGTTTAATGTATTTATTATCACTTTTATAAAAGTGTTATTTCATAAAATTTTAAAAATAAAAATTCAAAACAATTTTAAAATAAATATTTTTAAAAATTATGGTTACTTATTTTTTAAATTAATTTATTTATTAATAAAAAGATAACATTTAATTAATTAACTGATAAATATAAATATTATATATGAATAATATATCATATATAAATTTTAGAACATATAAAAAGTTATGGATTAACAAAATATTTGAAAATAAATGTACAACCATGTGTGTCACGTATTCAACTTTATTTTGGAGATATTCGTCTGTTACGTGTAAAACGATATGTATTCCCCGACCGCCTTCTTTTTCTCCATATGCTTTATGCTCAATCATCGTGTTGAAGGCTTAGTTAATCTTCAATCACAGTACATAAGCAGCTATATGCTCCCTCTCACCTTCTCATTCGTCAGCTTGCACCATTGTCATTATTGCTTTTGGGAAAGATTAATTTTGATTAAATATTCAAATAAGTTCTTAAATTATATCAAAAAAAATTAATTTAATTCTTATTTTTTTATTACGTTAAAATAAGTTTTTAAATTTCTATTTCAAATCAAATAAGCTCATCTCTCTAACCATTAACTAGTTTCTATTAGCCAATGATACATGTAATATTTTTATACTATGTCATTTACTACATGACAAATGATGTGATCTTAAATATTATTGATTAAGATTTATGTGATTACTCTTTTACCTATTTACTCAATCCTAATCAATAATATATAATACTATATGTATTGTTGATTAATGAAAATTAGTCAATAATTAACTAGATGGGTTTATTTGACTCGAAATAAAAATTTAAAGATTTATTTTAACGTAATAAAAAGATTGATTTTCTTAACATAATTTAGAGACTTATTTGAATATTTAATCATTAATTTTCCACCACAATACATTCCAAAAAGTCTTGGATCACAAAAAAAAAATTATTTGATCTGCTGACCACACACATGCATACATATATATATATATATATATATATATAAAAAGTTGAAAAACACGTGTTGCAAGGCATTTGCTATACCAAACTTTATTCATTGTTTGAGATCACATGCACTTGATGATTGCTATTTAGTTTGATGACAATTAAAGTGCATGAGAGTTGAGAAACATATCTAAGTATGTTTTTAAGAGCTCTTATTTATACACCTTTAAGTCGTAAGAAAATTAATTATTATATGTATTGACAATTTAATTTTAATTACATGTCAGAAGAACTCATAAACTAATCAAAATCTTAATTAGGCGTCCAAGATTTCATAAACTAGACATTTGGGATAAAATAAAAGTAGATGCATCATTTGTATTTTCTATGTGTTTTGAGGGATGATCTTGACATGGGACCGAGGTTGAGCTATCAGCTCTAGCTGGCATGAGAATGTGATGTTTTTTTAAGTGCTGTTGATCATGCAGAAAGATCTTAAAGTCCATCTTATAGAACATAGAAGAAATTAAAGATACAGAGTATATATTCCCTCCCACTTTCGAATAAAAGGTCAGATTAACTCTTGCTTTTCCCTTTTCGGTACAACTAATTTTTAGTAGTTTTCTTTGATTTATGTAATCTACAAGTAGCGGAATGGGAATAAATATACATTTATATTGTGGGCCTAATGGTCGCCATTGGCCGACGTAGTTAATTTAGAACATGAACTCTCCAGACTAAAAAGAGGTAAAGACACGTAGCCAAACCACCAGTTTCCTCTGTAGCATGGTTCTTGCGCTTCGAGCAAAAAGGAAAACAAATAATATTTGTCAATTTTCGGTTGCTCACAGTATTTATGAGGAACATCGAGTGTGGGGCTAATAGATATTAATTAGCTATCGCACGTATGTTGGTGGGACAAATTTTGTGGTGGTGGTAACGATGCCAGAAGCGGGCACAGAGGAGAAGAGAAGGAACCATGTGCGTAAGCCATTAGCGAAGCATGTTGACGTTGCACTGCTTAGCGAATAGCTTGTCACATCCAATATTTCGTCAGTCTCATATCTTGGATTAAACATCAACAAAAATAAGTCAAGAAACCCAGCCCTCCCCAAATCATTTACTACTAAAATTTCAAACTTTTGCGTTTCATTTCCATAACCCAGTGTTGCGGGTCAATTGCTTTCACGATTCAACCTTTCATTTTGAATTTGAAAAAAAGGGGATTCTAACTATACTTTTTAAGTGAAAACCATGTATTAATAATGTTTCAATGCAAAAAATTTACAATTTTAATAAAAACAATTATTTACTTTCCCAAAATTAAAAATGTTAAATTTTTTATAATGGGAATAATACTTTTACCCCGTGAGAATATGCTTTTCTTAAGTTAAACATTAGGTAAAGTTAGACTTTCATTATTGCATAAAAAATTCCAAGCAAAAAATTATAATATAATTAGGTATGGGGATGCTAGAGAACTGTAGCATTTCATCAGAATTTGGAAGGATTCAATTTCATAAAATAATTCTACTTTTAGGAAATAGTAATTTTGCCCTCTCTTTTATTGGAAACCAATTTCTAAATTCAACACCATTGTTGCGACTTACGAATTAACAAACCTAAACATCAACATATAATAGTTTTATTTATCTAGTCCACAACATTTTACGCCACAAAATCAGCGTCGGCCAAAAAATGGGTTTTGTCTTTAATTTTTTCGGTGCTGCGCCCGCGGAATTATGATCCACTTGGCCTGTCAAAACACCTCTCTTCACACCAGATCCTTCTCTACCGACATAGATTTTGCTTCCTCTGGCCTATAAAAGACACCCTTGCTAGCAGCCTTGAATACATCATCATAAAGAGCACTTCAGAGAGAAAAAGAAAAAGAAAAGAAAGAAGAAATGGAAGACAGAGAGATTAAAGGGCACGTAGTAGTGCTGCCATACCCAAGCCAAGGCCACATAAACCCTCTTCTCCAATTTGCAAAACGCCTAGCCTCTAAAGGTGTCAAGGCAACACTAGCCACAACCCATTACACTGTCGAGTCCATATGTGCAGCTCACATTGGTGTCGAGCCAATCTCTGATGGGTTCGATCAAGGTGGGTTTTCTCAAGCAGGGAATGTAGACTTTTACCTTAAGTCATTCAGGGACGATGGCTCCCGAACTCTGTCTCAACTCATCCAAAAGTTCCAAAACTCTACCACCCCAGTTAATTGTGTTGTGTATGACTCGTTTCTGCCATGGGCTCTCGATGTGGCAAAGAAGCATGGGATTTATGGAGCTCCATTCTTTACTAACTCTGCCACTGTGTGTAACATCTTTTCTCATATTCACCGTGGCCTGCTTCCTCTGCCACTGATGCCTGAAAGCACACCCTTAAAGTTACCAGGGCTTCCTCCACTGAACTACCCTGACTTGCCCACGTTTCTTAGGTTTCCAGATAGTTATCCAGCATACTTGGCCATGAAATTGAGTCAATATTCAAATTTGAATGAAGCTGATTGGATTTTTGATAACACCTTTGAAGACTTGGAAGGGAAGGTATGTAAATAGAGTTCTAACTACTTACAAGCATCAGCATCATCCAAGCTTAATTTTGTTATATGTTATGCGTTTGAAAAGATTGTATGACAATTATATTAACGGTGATCGAAGCTAAATTGATTTGATTCTCATTAGGCTCATTGCAAATTTTGTACTGATATTTTACGGGACATGTTCTTATAGGAAGCAAGAGGCGTATCAGAGATCTGGCCAGCGAAGTTGATTGGTCCCATGGTACCATCTGCTTACTTGGATGAAAGAATCAAGGGTGACAGAGGTTATGGCTCAAGTTTATGGAAGCCACTTAGCGAAGAGTGCATGGAATGGCTTGAAACAAAGCCGTTTCAGTCTGTGGTCTATGCTTCTTTTGGAAGCATGGTTTCATTAACAGAAGAACAAATGGAAGAGATTGCCTGGGGCTTAAAGGAAAGCAATTTGCATTTCCTGTGGGTGGTCAGAGAGTCAGAACAGAAAAAACTGCCCAAATGGTTGGTAGACTCAACTAAAGAAAAGGGCATGGTTGTGACATGGTGTAACCAACTAGAAATGCTGGCACATCCTGCCGTAGGCTGCTTTCTGACCCACTGTGGGTGGAACTCAACGCTGGAAGGGCTGAGCCTTGGAGTGCCAATGATTGGTGTGCCCAAATGGACAGATCAACTGACCGATGCAAAGTTTGTGGAGGAGATTTGGGAGGTAGGAGTGAGAGCCAAAGAGGATGAGGAGGGAGTTGTGAGAAAGGAAGAACTAATGAAGTGCTTGAAGGAAGTAATGGAAGGGGAGAAAAGCAAAGAGATGAAGGAAAACGCTAAGAAATGGAGGGAATCGGCTAAGAAAGCAATCAGTGAAGGAGGGAGCTCAGATGATTGTATTAATGAGTTCGTGGAACATTTGATGGCTTCTTATAAAAGCTTGAACGGACATTATTAAAGAAATTACTCATTAAGATTGTGCTAGCTAGTTGATTTCTCTAGTGTTGTAGAGATTGAGATTCCAGGGTGCATGGTTTATGGGTCGTTGTGGTGGGATTTTTTTTTTTGTCCATTTAAGAAAAACAATGTGGTGTTTGCACCATCTCATTTGTGATGGTCTAGCGTTTATTCTCTAGCATTTATTCTGGCTGAAAAGCAGTTTTTAATTGTTTAATAAAAAGTTATATTCATTTAGCTTTTTAATTAATCAAAGGAACTGAATATATAAAGGTTTTTTTTTTAAATGGGCTCCATGCATAAGGCGTTTCAGAAATAACCATTCTTATAATTTTAACTGTTTCTAATCAAGAGAAATAAAATTTGCACAAAATTGTCCTTAGTGAAACCGGCCCATTCGTTGATTCCGCTCCTTAACTCGAAACCTATTAACGAGTCAAGTATATTTATATGGTCCATAACTACTTAGTTCCCATTGACAGACCTACATCTCCTCGAAAGCAATTTTGTTGAAAGCATTTCTCACCAGTTCAACTTTTGAGCATTTTTGCAGTGGTAAGAGCATTTTGGACTGGTTATTATTCACATAAAGGTAGTTCACATATTGAACAGTGAGAGAAAGTTCACATTACGTGGAGAAAGGTATATTTTTTTTATTATATTTTGAACCATGTGGAGAAATGGTTATTCTTCATCTTTAGGGTTGAGGTTTTTGAGCATAAACCTATACATATTGCTTGTTCATATTGATATTCTTGTTGTTTAGAATTGTTGAATGTAAACATGAAAGTGGTATTGTTGGTATTGTTGGGGTCGAAAGGTGACCGAGCATGCATGACTTGTTGATATGTACGCATTATGACCTTTTGATAGGAATTGGTTTGAGGGTTTAGATATTGCGTGACTGAGGGCTTGCTTATATGGTTGGCACCTTATGCATGACTGGATTTTGGCATGGGATCACTGAGGGTGTGCATGACTGCATTAGGGTTTAACATTAAGTGAGTGTTTGATATGTGATAGCGTGACATATTGATAGGTCATTGCGTGACAGCATGACTAGATGTAGGCATGGGGGTTGGGGTGTGCATGATTACATTAAAGATTAAAATTTTTTTACTAGTTGATAGGTCATTGTGTTACCTTTGATAAATCATTGCATGACAGCGTGATTGGAATAAGGCATGGCATTACTTAGGCTCTACGTGATTGCATAAGGGTTTAACATTGCGTGACTGATTGATAGGTCTGTATTATTTTAGGTCAACTGTAGTGCTTTATTATGTATATGTTGATTTATTTAATAATCCATGGTCGACACTTGCATTAATTATTCTGTGTAAAGGTTGTCTAAAAACAGTTGAAATTATTGAAAGGGTTATTTTTGGAGTGAGCTTCCGAGGAGGGCTATTTCTCAAAAATTCTTCTTGTCTTTTTGTTAATCTAAAATGAGGGTATTAGCATGACTAACATGGGAAAGTTATCTATTTTATATTGCAGATGTCCAACATAAGAACAGAGCAAGATAGTGTGAAATTTTTGCTTTGTGTGTCAAGGCACTGGTGGGGGTTTAACACTAGCATTAACATCCACTGTAAGTGATTGTATCTGCATGTGATACGTGAGAAGCTATGCAAAGTAAATGAGTGGGAAACCTTGAAGAGAACATGCTTTGGGCGTATGATGGATGTCGAATCAGAAAGAGATTATTCTACGCCAGTGTCATGCATAACTTAATGTTGCACAGAATCAATGAGCTTGATGCCATCGAGGGTAAGTAATGGTTTTCCATAAGAAGAACAAAGGCCAAATTTTTGAAGAGGGAGTTTTACTTGGTGACAAGACTGAAGTTTCGTGCCCTACTAACCCTTATTGTCAATCCTTTCAAGGTCGTCCCTAAAGGAATTCATTTGCGATATTAGAGACAGGGGAACGAGGTGAAAATACAACAAGTTTTAGAGACGTTTAAGGAAGGGCAATTTCAGCAAGAGGAAGATGCACCAAGATGGCCCTAATCTTGATCATGAGCAACGTTTTATTCGGTCAAGACTACAAACGATCAGTGATTCCATGGTTGTGTCACTAGTTGAGAACATCGACGACTGGAATGCATTTCCATGGGGCACATACATTTAGAGTATGACCGTTGATTGCTTGATGAAAGGTTTCGAACCTCCATCGGTGGGAGTAGCAGAGAAGAAACGTTACCACCTCTATGGATTTATATGGGCGTTTCAAGTAGTGTGCCATACCCTAATGTTTATCATTATTCTTTTTTTATGAGGTAAGTAAAAAACGTTTCACAATTGATGTGCAATTTTGGGCATTGGAAGCAATTCCTGTAATTTGAAGCTTGTTTGGAAGGTAGCGTCAGTGTGGATAGGTTTGCCCAAAAATGCTGAAATGGGCATGTGACGAGAGGCCTGTAGGCTTCCACGCCAATATTGCAAGTTTGGAGAGAAAAGGCAAAGTGAGTAAAGAAAGCATATTTTTTTATTTTATTAAACTTTTTCTCACTACTCAATATGTGAACTATTTTTATGTGAATAATAACCAGTCCAAAATGCTCCTACCATTACAAACTTGCTGGAAAGTTGAACTGGAGATGAATGCTTTCGACAAAATTACTTCTGAGAAGATGTACGGCATGTTGATGAGAACTGAGGAGTTATGGACCATATAAACATACTTGACCCGTTAATAGGTTTCGAATTTAAGTGCCTGATTCTCCTCTTACAACTCTTCATGTTACTTCTTATGCTGCTCCTCATGTTGCTACTCTTGTTACAATTGTTGTGACTCCTCACGCTATTCCTCTTCCTGCTTTTACTATTGCCCCTCATGCTCAGGCATGCAACTCATCGCTGCGTCCTGAAATGACTATGAGCATTAAGTGAGAGCTGCAACAGATGAGGAGACAATGGAAGAAAGACCTATAATCATTACAGAGAGATATGTAAATGGACAAGCAAATGCAGATGCAGTCGTTGCAGAAAGATGTTGATCAAGACATGCACATGCATATGCATATGAATGGAATGCAGTTGGAGATCCAGTGGGCAATGAAGATGTAGATATAGTCACTCCATCTGCATATCCAGCAATCACTATAAAAGCTAAAGGATCGGATTGTCAGTCAACTGATTGACCGTTATAAGGTATGAGTTTCATTACGTGAGTTATAACATGTACGATGTATATATTGTTCTAATGTGTTTGACTTTTTCAACCATTTAAGGTCGATCGATGGGTAAAGAAGATGGAGCATGCGACAAAGAAGGCAGCAATACTGGGGTTGATCTTGATGATGCAGGTGGCATAAATTAGTCAATTGCATAAGCTTAAAGCTCACCTCCCACTACGTTGATCGAACATCATTCTGTAAGTACTCCAACTACAACTTCCCCACACCCTACTCCTATCCTATCTCCACTAGAGGCCCCCTAGCATTGTCGGCGCACACCTTCTCTTGAGGCTCCACCCCAATCTCATGTCGAAGAAGCACCTCATCCTGTGAGTAGTGGAACTACAAGTTTCCTGCATGTTGCTCCTATCCCAACTCCAGGAGAGGCCCCCCTACATAGTAAGATCACACATTCTCCTGAGGCTCCACCTCGACCTTAGGCTGAAGATGCACATGTGAGCTTAGCCAGCAAATACGTTCGAAGCCTATACGTTAACCCACTGTTAGTCTAGCGCAAAGCGAAAGATGATTTGAAGGATAGATATGAGTCCTTCATGAAAAATGAGTAAACTAGGTAAAATGATAACAGTACATGATATTAAGGTTAACGGTTCTAGGGTTTTTATTTCATAGACCTTTTGATGTGGGTATTATAAATAAACAGGGTTAACATTCTAAGCATTGAAGGACAGAAGAGCCCTTAAATTTTTTGATGACTGGAGATGCCAGCTGAGTTGTTGGACAACCACTGGGTGATAGTGCACTGAAGTTCGGCTTATGTGATAAGTAGATGAGTCCATTAACAACATTGTTTCCCATTATATGCCACCAGGTCAAGTACTTTGATAGCTCGTGTCGTCAAAAGTGACCTTTGACGCAGATGAGGTATAAGTTAAATGCAAAAACCCTAAAATAGCAAGATTCGCATAGTTGTGGAGATTGGGTTATCGCCTCGTTGTAGTGATTGATCGGTTTGGAGGATCACATACTGAAGGCAAATGCCATAGACAGGCTTCAAAAGAAGTTTGCCATTGAGATTTTCGCAAATAGCATCTCTTGTTAAATTTTGTAATTTGTTTATTCTTTTTCTTTTCAATATGTAAATGACATTATTTTGTATCATGTCCATATTATTATTTGTTGTATCATTTACATTTTTTTTTGTATTATTTAACAAAAAAGAAAAAAGAGTAATAAGAACAGTTCTATATTCATTGATGTAATAAGTATACAAGTCTAATAACAACAACATTATTTTTCCTTATTCATATCTTCAATTTTATTAGCATTTTACGCAATTTACATGCCAGCATTCATGAGTTTGCATATGCCAACCCCTTTTACTTTATAGCTTATATGCCTTGTTGAATTGCACTGCGTGACATAGGGTTGTAACCATTTAATATTGAATTGCGCAAATGGTTGATATGGAATTGCATCACCAATTGACATTGATTTGCACAAGTATTTGATATGAAATTATGCTACTACTGAATTTTGAATCACATGACTAGTTAATATGGAATCGCGTGAGTAAACAAATTGGAATCGCGTGACTAGTAAATATGGAATCGCATTAGTAATAAATATGGAGTCGCATGTGTAGTATATGGAATGGCGTTACTAGTTATTATAGAATCACGTGAGTATTTATTATAAAATCGCATGAGTAGTAAATATGGAGTCGCGTGACTAGTTATTATGGAATCGTATGATTAGTTGATATTGAGACGCGTGAGTAGCATACATGGAGTGGCGTTACCACTTATTATGGGATCACGTTACTAGTTTATATGGAAATGTCAATGGCATATATCATCTTAAGAGACATATATATTATTGCTGGCTATTGTCAAAAATGCGAATATAATCTCCAGACTCTGTCAAACTCAAGTTCAAATAGTATTATTCAATGCAAATGTCAATAACCAATTAGAAACAATCCTTAACAATTGCGTCTGAAGGGCCACTATCTTTAGGTACACCACCTATAACATTCTCAGAATTTGTAGTCCTCATTGGATAGCAGTTTCATGTGTGCCCAAGTTGTTTG